TATTGTAGAGATGAGGTCTCACTGCCCACGCGGGTCTCGAACCCGTGGGCTCAGGCAATCCACTCTTTTTATTTCCATGAAATAGCCAGTCTCTGGGCCATTTGCTCTTTTTAAAACAAAACCTGCCCGGCGCCTGGCGGTTCTTTAAAGTTGCAACTTGTCTTTCAAAAGGAAATACCTTTAACTGCTACTAACCCCTTTCCTGCCTCTGGGCTAGTGGGAGTTACCCCAGGTGATTGCCATGAGGCCAACTGCTAATCCTAAACCAGCTACATGTTTCTGTGTTTATTCACTCAATCATACAAGAAATATATTTGAGCATTTGCCGCATCCTGCCACATGAAGACCTTGTAATTCATTCAAAAGCTATCGGGTAAGAGATGCTGAGGGTACTAGTGAGAGTCAACAACCCTCTCCCTCAGGGAGGTGGCACTCTGATAGGGCAGAAGATGAAAGTGAGCAGACTTTTTAGTTGGCCTTCACCTTCTGCTGGTAGATTGTCTGGTTGGGTCCAAATTCCCTCCCCCATACCCACATACATAATCTCCCCTCCCATCAAACGTGCTTCCCTGCCTTACACATTCCAATCCTGCCACTGTATTCACATCTTCCACAATAATCCTCCCAAGGCCCAGTTGTCCCTGTTCTTCTCAAGTATCTAAATTCTTACTCTGGAGACCTTCAACTCACTTCTGACTCAATCTAAAACTTTACAGTTAATACACGAGTAACTACTCCACAGTTGCCTTATATTACACTATTGCACCCCTGTGGCTACCACTCCCTTTTCTATGCTATTCCCTTCACCTGAATTTTTAATTCCATTTCTGTGTCTTGAAATCCTACCCTGCCTTCCTCCAAGAATAATTCTGGATGTTCCTAGCTTGAAGTACTCTCAGCCTCTTCTGACACCCAAAGCTTTTGCTGTCCTACTTTCTATCCTGTATTATTGTTATTTAAGTGTCAATTGTGCCTTTCTAGTGGCTGGAGTATCTGCTCCTTATGTAGCAGAAAAATAGAGAGATAGTGACACCGAGACTATTATAGGAAGTGGCACTTTATTACGTTGGCTAGCACAGTGGGCTCAATGGAACTAATGCGTCCAAACCGAGTGCCCCAGAACAGGAGACGTGGGGTCTTATACCCTTGTTTAGGGAAGGGAGTGGGTTGTGTTGAGTGATTACATATTTCCTTTGGAACTTTACAAGGTTGTACGCAGCAAAATCAGATTTTTTTTTTTTTAACTTCTTATTTTTTTTTTTCATTAATCAGTATTTTTTATTATGGTTTTGTGGGGTACAGTTAA